CTATACCCTGAGTGATGGTCCCCTGCTTCTTATCTGCAGTTTTGCTGCTGCGCGGCGCGCGTTGGTTTGGTGCGAGGCAGCAAATCAGCGAAGACAAACTCCCGCCAGCACCAACAGACAAACGAGACTGAGATAAATAAACAAATTAATTAATTAATTAATTAATTAATTAATTAATTAATTAATTAATTAATTAATTAACTAATTAATTAATTAGGTTTATTTATCTATTTGTTTATCTATTTATTATCAATTTGTTATTACAAATCAGCGAAGACAAACTCCCGCCAACACCAACAGACAAACGAGACTGAGATAAATAAATAAATAAATAAATAAATAAATAAATAACTAATTAACTAACTAGTTGATTAATTAATTACTTTATCTATTTATTTATCTATTTATCTATTAGGCTTATTTATCTATTTGTTTATCTACTTCTTATTTATTTATTATAACAATTCAGAAGACAAACTCCCACCTGCATTTATTTATAATATTTACAGACTTATTTATATATTTATATATTCTTCACGTATTCATTTATATAATAATATAGTAATAGTATATTATTATACATTAGGGTTTAGGGTTTAGGGTTTAGGGTTTAGAGGGGGTTACTTTATAGAAGCGGCAAATTGCGTCAGCATCCTGAGGTGTCTTCATATTCAGAAGCCAAACACTAGGGCACTGACGCCCCCCATTGCTGCAGCAGCAACAGCAGCAGCAGCAGCAGCAGCAGCAGATTGATGAGCTCCATCAGCAAAAGGAACAGCAGCTGCTGCTGCTGCGCAGGCCAACAGCAGCAGCAGCAGCAACAGCAACAGCAACAGCAGCAACAGCAGCATCAGTAGCACAGCAGCAGCAACAGCAGCAGCAGCAGCAACAGAAGCAGCAGCAGCAGCAGCAGCAGCAGCAGGAGCTCACTCCAACTGTCTACCATGGATTAAATAAGAGGAGACAACAGCCTGCAGCAGCTCCTGCGGCATCTGCTGCAGCAAATCTTGTTCAGTTAAGCTGGGGTCAATATGTCTTACAGCAACTGCGCATGCATACACCGCAGCAGCAAACCTTAAACCCTAAACCCTAAACCCTAAACCCTAAAGGAGAGGACAATACACGCCTACCCTTCGTTTGAGATTTTGCTTTGTACACCGCAGCTGTGGCTTGAACTGCAGCAGAAGCGTCCGTAGGCTGCTGCTCCTGTTTTTGCTGCTGCTGCTGCTGTTGTTGTTGCTGTTGTTGCTGTTGCTGCTGCTGTTGTTGCTGCTGCTGCTGTTGCTGCTGCAGCTTCATATCCGCTTCCTGTGTTCTAGAGCGGGGTCTCCACAGTTGCTGAGAGGGGGCTTTAACTCTTCCGCTGCTGCTGCTGCTGTTGTTGTTGTTGGTGCTGCTGCTAATGTTGCTGCTGCTGCTGCTGCTACTGCTGCTGCTGCTGCTGCTGCTTGACTCCCGGGGCCCCGGCCGGGGGCCCCTGCGGGGGCCCCCATCAGCATTTTGTTTATTTTCAGTTGGCTTCCGCTGCAGCAGCATCGTAGCAATTCTTGAGGCGTCCAGAGGGACGCCAGAAGAGCGAGGGCCCCCCCCTTGCATTGTCGCGGAGTGTCTGTACACCCTAAACCCTAAACCCTAAACCCTAAACCCTAATCCCTCATGAAGCCCTTGCTCTAGTATTAGGCCGAGGGCGCTGCTTTAAATAAACTAGATAAGAAAAAACAAAAAGCATTTATGTCGCCTTCAGCTAGTAGAGTTTAGGGTTTAGGGTTTAGGGTTTAGGGTTTAGGGGCCCCCCTGCTGGCGAGGAAACTGGAGGTATAAAAGAGTTTAATTGTACGCAGTTTGTATTTATTTATTATAATTATTTATTATTATTATTATTTATTTTAATTGTTTAATTTATTAATTAATTATTTTTTTAACTCAGAGGCTTACTCATATTTTGCTGCTTCCCCCCTTGTGGTCACCACTGGCTAAGCAGCGGTTGTTGAGGGTTTTTATAAGGGTTTAGGGTTTAGGGTTTAGGGTTTGGAGGAGGGTTTAGGGTGTAGGGCTTGCAGTAAGTAAGGAGGCTTTAGGAGTTACGGCGGCTAGCGACGGTTTAGGGTTTAGGCCTAACAAGTGTTGGCGAGGGTTTAGGGTTTAGGGTTTACACTGATCATTAGAGAGGGTTTAGGGTTTACGCGGTTTAGGGTTTAGGGTTTAGGGTTTAGGTGGCGAAAGGACAATGCTGCTGCTATGCTACAACACGGGCACCTACAGCAGCAGCAGCAGCAGCAATAACAGCAACGGCAGCAGCAGCAATAACAGCAGCAGCAGCAGCAATAACAGCAACAGCAGCAGCAGCAATAACAGCAACAGCAGCAGCAGCAACAGCAGCAGCAGCAACAAAAGCAGCTCTCTTTCCAATGGACTCAACCGCAGCCGTTTCCGCACCTGCAGCAGCAACTGCAGCAGCAGCCACTGCAGCAGCAGCAACTGCATCAGTTATTGTCGCAGCAGAGCGGCAGCTGAAAAGGGTTTGCTGCCTGCCCAATCGCATACTAAAAACAAGTTGCTGTTCGTGTGCTGCTGCTGTTGCAGCTACCGTTGCAGCAGCAACATCAGCAGCAGCAGCAACTGCAGCAGCAGTAGCAGCTACTGCAGCAACAGCAGCTGCAGCAACAACTGCTGCAGCAGCGAGATGAGCAGCAGCGCTCGGAAGAGTGCAGCGCAGCATCTACAGCAGCACCGGGTGCAGCGCGTGCAGCAGCACATGTAGCAGCAGCAGCTGCAGCAGCAGCAGCAGCAGCAGCAGCAGGATTAACTCCACTCTGGGGGTGCATCAACAGAGACAGTAATAATGTCTCCTAAAGAAGGAGACAGCGGGTTGGGGAAGGAAAGGCAGCAAAGCTGCATTCCCAAAGTGCTGCAAGGGGGGCCTACGCCTTCGCTGCTGCTGCTGCTGCTGCTGCTGCTGATGCTGCTGCTGCTAATGATGTGTACAGTTGAAGGAGCAGCAGCAGAAGCAGCAGATGCTGAAGCAGATTCAGCATCTTCGAACGCCAAGGTCCCTTGGTCTGTTTCCTGCTGCTCCCTTTGCTGCTGCTGCTGCTGCTGATGCTGCTGTTGCTGATGCTGCTGCCGTTGCTGCTGCTGCTGTTGCTGCTGCTGCTGCTTTGTTGCTGCTGGCCGAATTGAAAAGAGAGAAGAGAACAAATGACCCTCATCAAACGCAGCAGCAGCAGCTGCTGCTGCCTCTTCTGCTGCTCGGCACAACACATTCTGATGCTGCTGCTGCTGCTGCAGCTGTGCTTCTGCTGCAGCAGCAGCTGCCTGTGTTTGGTATCCATACGGGTCCTCTGGGACGCAATTGCTGCTGCTGCTGCTACTATGGCTGCTGCTGCCATTGCTGCTGTTGCTGCTGCAGTCGTTAACAATGGGGCATCCGGCAGCAGCAAACTGGAGCTGCAGCAGAACACCAAACCAACAGCAGCAGCAGCAGCAGCAAACAAACGGTGACATCAGCAGCAAAAGAGGGCCCTTGTGGGGCCCCAGCAGCAGCAAGAGGGTATTTTTGTTTCTGGCTGCAGCAGATTGCCGCAGCGGCTCTATCATTGCTGCAGCACTATGCTGCAGCAATGACAGCAGCAGCAGCAGCAGGAGCAGAAGTACCAGCAGCAGCAACAACAACAACAGCAGGCCCCCTATCTCACCCGTATCTGCTGCGGCGAAGGGGGCCCCCAGCAGCAAACCCTATACTCGCCACACAGACGGGGGGGCCCCCCCTCCTTCAGTCGCTTAGCAGCAACTGATAAAAGATTGAAGTTTGCTGCACTTTGTTTCGCTGCCTTCGAGGGAAGAAAACTAAACAAAGAAGAGGGAGGCCAAAGAGACAAACCACGACCCTGAGCAGCAGCAGCAGCAGCAGCAACAGCAGCAGCAGCAGCAGCAGCAGACGAAGAAGGGACGGTCAAAGCGGAAACACCAGAACCAGCAGCAACAGGAAGAACGGCAGCAGCAGCTGCTGCATCAGCCCCAGCTGCTGCAGCAGCAGCGGCAGCACCACATGCGGGGACAGAGACGCAACGTGAATGATGGGGCTGTAGGGCTTTAGTAGGCATTATGGTTTAGGGTTTAGGGTTTAGGGTTTAGGGTTTAGGCACCTTAGCGACCCAGGGGAGCAACGAAGGAGGTACGGAGACACCAGCAGCAAATTGCCGCGCATCTCTCTTCGTGGGGCCCCCCAAGTGCTGCTGCTGCTGCTGCTGCAACTGCTGCTGCTGCTGCTGCTCGCGACTGTCGTCGAAGTCACTAGCTGTCTGTCCTGCTGCTGCTGCTGCTGCTGGGGCCCCCGTTCTCAGCTGGTGGGGCCCCCTATACAGCTGGCTGCACAAAACACCAGCAGCAAGAAGGCCCCCTGTACCCTCTTTCCGCAGCTGAGGAGGCCCCCAGGGGGCCCCCAACGACAGCAAACAAGTCGCAGATGATTCATTAAAAGACAATGTCCCCTGCTGTTGCTGCCGCTGCTGCTGCTGTTGCTGCTGCCGCTGCTGCTGCTGCTGCTGCTGCTGGGTCCAGCAGCAGTGCCATGCGAATGGAGGCGGAGTGAAATAGGGAAGACCGCTCAGGGGGCCCCCCCCTGGGGGCCCCCGTGGGGGCCCCCCTTCGGGGCCCCCTGGGGGGCCCCCAAAGGGTGTGGTAGCTATATTTGAGACATCAGCAAGTACTCTGAATTGCTGCTGAACTAAACCTTTGTCTATTAGGCGGCCTGAAGCAGCAGCAGCAGCAGCAACAGCGACAATAGCAGCAGCAGTATGGGCAGAAATAACAATACAGGTATCAGAAGCAGCTACAGCAGAGGTAATAGCAGCATCAGCTACAGCAACAGCAACAACAACAGCAGTAACAGCAGCAGCAGCAGCAGCAGCAACAGCAGCAACAACAACAACAGCATAAACAACAACAGCAACCGCAACCGCAGCAACAACAACAGAAACAGTAGCAGCAACAACAACAGCAGAAACAGCAGCAGCAGCAGCAACAGCAGCAGCAGCAGCAGCAAGAGTTACGGATGGAGTTGTTTGCTGCCTCATCTGTGGCGACCAGCACGAGGCCCTGTGCTTGCAGCGGTATATCAGAGAGAGGGAAGAACAATGCCTTAAGAGAAGAACTCTCAATCGATGCTGCTGCTGCTGCTGCAGGTGCTGCTGCAGGCGCTGCTGCTGCTGCTGCTGCTGCTGCTTCACAAGCAGCAGACAAACGCTGGCGCCCCAATGCATCTTCTAAGGCCTCTTGAAGGCTGGGGGCCCCCCTGTGGGGCCCCACAGACCAACCCGGTGGCTTATAGGCAACAAACCATCGGTCCCTTAGGTGCCCATACACCACAAGACTGCTGTTGCTGCTGCTGCTGCTGCTGCTGAAGCTTCTGCTGCTGCTGCAGCGAATCGGGAGAGGCCTCTGATGTGCCCCATTGTAGCGTTTGTTCCAGCTCTCAACACTGGTGCTGCTGTTGCTGCAGCTGCTGCTGCTGCTGCTGTTTCTATTGAGACTTAGGGGGGCCCCCAGGGGGGCCCCCCTTGAATGTGTTTGTCGCAGAGGGTAGCGCTGCTGCCAGCGCAGGGCTTTGGGGCCCCTAAAGATAAATAAAAGCGACGAAGGGGCCCCCAGCAATACTGCTGTAGAACCCCCCATGAGCCTTTAATATCCTCGAATGAAGCTGAGGGTTTAGGGTTTAGGGTTTAGGGTTTAGACCGAAGGCCCGTTCCCACCTTGATGAAACCCTTGATCTTCCCTGCATTGTAAAGGGCTAGGGTTTAGGGTTTAGGGTTTAGGGTTTAGACCATTCAAGTATTTAAAGTTGAGACAGCACTGAAGCCAGAAGAAATGCTTAATGTGGGGCCCCCAGGGGGGCCCCCAAGGGGGCCCCCAGAGGGGCCCCCAGGGGCCCCCCTGGTTTGTATGGTGTCTCAGTACTGAT